TGTGAAATGAGTTTGACACCCCTGCCTTAAATCAATACACACTCATCTGCATTGATCATAGTTTTTCACAAGCTGTTGCCCTCTTAATGAATGTAGTTTTTATGAAAGTTCAACGATAATGGGTTGTGAAAGGGCTGCACATTTTCATATTTTCGAGATGCAAAACACACACACACACGCACGCACGCACGCACGCACGCGCGCACGCAGATAAAAATAAAACAGAGATTGGGGCACTGAAGAGATCGCCCGATGTGCGTACACCTCCACATACGGTTTTATCTTCCCCGTGCACTTGTGAATGAAAGAGTGTACGGCACACAGCAACCGTGAGAGGTCTGCTGCGGTTGTCTGGGAGACCGGGAGTGGAACATCGATTTTAAAGGAACAGTGATCAAAAGAAGTTAGTCTTTGATAGGGAGACTGGGTTACACTAATGATGTGGTTGATTTGAATGGCCTAATGAGCGCGTCCATAAAAACGACTTGATGCATGAATTTATTTATTTTTTTTTTTAAACACATTCATTACTTGAATAAATTCAGTACCTCAACCCTGATAAAATTTGAGTGCATCAATTTGTGCAGTTGGAGGAACACATCTTGAAGTAAACATTATATGCTTGATACGGAATGGATTGTGGTCCAGTTTCAAAGTAAATTCATTTAGTTAAGTAATCTGATCAATTATATCTACTGTATATCGCAATACAGACTCCGGTGCACTATTATTAATTTTTGTTAAATAGTAGTACGTCTTCATTCACTGGCAAATACACATTACATCCGGGTTTGGGTATATAATAGTGCAGCATTTACAAGACTGTCATTGAACTGTCATTTATTTTTTGTTTTGGTAATTAATCACTTCTGCCACCAAGCTGCAATGCGACAAGCCATGTGTCATTCAGAGATTCAAAGTTAATCTACCCTGAAATGATGGGGATAATCGTCTTGTTATTCTTTGTTCCTCTTTCACGATGACAAAAAAAAAAAAACAAGAGACTAAATGTAGTAATTTAATTTAACACAATAAAGGTAAAATGTTTAGCATCTACAGAATGTAAAACGTGACCGAAATACAGTCCTAAAAAAATAAGGCGGAGTAAAAAAGAACATTTGAGGGGAAAAAAAGAGCATAATTTAAAGTTGCATAAGTCAAAAGCTACACGAAGGACAACCAAGAGAGGATAATTCCTTTATTGGTCCTGAATGTTTACTATTATTTTAACCTGAAGCCTGGCCAGTGTGTACATGCTTGGCCTTCATTTTTTGGATTTCAGATGAATTTGTAAACCCGAATGAAATCTCCCCCCCCCCCAAAAAAAAATAATTAAAACCAAAAACAAAAAAAATTACCAGAGCAAAGGCCGATCATTTTGGTTCGTGCCTGGCTAACACTATCTCACTTGGGTGAACGTTATTTCACTCCCTGACAGTAAATAAGATGCCTGTGTCATCAGCCAGCATGATATTAGTTGCGCTGAGATGTAGGCTGGAATAAATATACAGTACACTTGATTGTCCGACCAATACTCTAAATGCAGTGTCTTCTGACGCTGCTGAAATTATGCAACCTCAGTAAGATATCCTCTTAAAAGAGAGAATTGTGGCCTCTATTGGAGGTTGGATTGCTACTATGTAATCAAAGCAGAAAAAAAAAAAAAAACAAAATAACTTTACTTTGGGCAGTACATTAAATATGAGTGTGCAAATGATATGTGTGGAAAAGCAAATTGAAGCACTTGTCAGAGAGACGACTTGGCCAGCAGCATCAGGACAGAAGAAAAAGAGACACGCAAAACATTGTTAATGTGAGCTATCTTTCATTGTCTTTCCAAATGATCAAACCAGAGATCTATCACTCGGATTTCATTTCAAACAAAACGAAAGGCTTCCAAGACTAATCTCTGTTTCCAGGGCATAATAAATGCTTAAAATGCGAGTCATTGTTGGTATTAGCCGATATCTCATGTTATTGATAAAAGCCAAATATCTCATGTTGTATTGCTAGAAAGAGCGTAGCTTTCTGAAGACGAGGAGTTACAAACCACATTCTGAGAATTAAAAAAATTCCGTTCAAATTAAGCAGGATCATCCAACACAATTTTTCCACTTTGGAAACGTATGCAAAAATGTACCAGGAACAAATTAGGAAAAAATGAATACAACTCTTTCAGTGCACAGCATCAATTTGGCTCGACTGAGCTTTACGCTTGGGTTTAACATTTGGGTTCCAATTCAAAATGGACAATTCAGGGGGAACCCTGCCTTTCGGCCAAAGAAGATTGGTATAAACTCCAGCTTACACGTGATACTAAACAGGATAATCACTACACAATGAATGGATGGATGTTCTGTACTTGTGCCTGAATATTCTAAATCCATGTTTTTCCAAACTTTATTGCATGCCCCATTTTTCATTTTAAATAATAATTAAAAATCTCACACCACACCACCAAACGAAAATGTCACACGAGTATGAATACTGAAATAATGATGATCTTGTATCAATGTACTCAAAAATTCAGTTGCCGTGTACTGTATGTTTCAGACCATTGGGCATTATTCGGCGCAATATCATTGAATGGCTCGCTTGCTTTTGTTCATTATTTGCAACTACACTGGGGTTGCTTCGGGTGGAGAAGAGGAGGGGATACTAAGACAGACAAAAAGTTTGAACATCATTAGTCAATCAGGTGGTTGTGGTCTAACTTTGGGTAATGCTAAATGCTAGCTTGGTTGAAGTTCAACAGCTGTAAAGAAGTCAATGCATTCACCATTATTTGTACTGTCTTTCTTTGTAAATATCTCATGTTACAATGTGGGTGCCTGCGGCTTACAGAGAGGTGCGGCTTATGTGTGTACAAAATGTTTTTTCCTTTAAAAATGTAGGGGGTGTGGCTTATAATTAGGTGCGCTCTCTACTCCGGAAATTATGGTACATTCTCAGACACGGAAACAGGTTGTAGTTCGAGCTGGTCAAAAACAGACGCATGCTTGCGATTAGATGCAGATGAGAATGATAAAGTGACCCTAATAGAAAGGCATTTGAATTTAAGACAGTGAACTGAAAGGTCCTCCGGATTATAAAATGGACTGTCGATTTTTGAGGAAATTACAGGATTTTTAAGTGCGCCGTATGCTCTGATAGCTGAGAGACTCGCAGGAAGACACAACTTATTCTGTTGTATGAATGCAACAGATGGATACATAGGTTTCTTGCATCTTCTGCTACCTAATGGAAAAGCATTTAATCGTTCTGCCTATCACTATGCATCACTGGCATAAATAGATGAACAAAGATATATTTGTCATTAAACGATAATTAGTGAAATTGGATCACTTCCCGTGACACCCCCAAGATATCGCTCATGGCACACGAATTCGGAATTCCTGTTCTAAATGGCACCCATTCATAACGCTTCTCCACGTGTTTCTAATAAATAGCGGAGATGACAAAACCCTGCAAGAGAAATACTGCATTCAAGCTACCGCACAGCAATATTTGTCTTCATGTACAAAAGCAAACAGACACATAGCATGCATGTGCTTTAGTTGAACATCTGTGTTTGTTTATGGTGTAAACCGAGAACAGAGGCCAGAAAGTCAGGCAGGTTTGTATTTGACAGCACATGTAGTGGGCCACATCATCACCACCACTTCCGGTTCTTACCGATGGAAACTCAAAAGTGAACTCCCATCCCACCCCTCATGAGACACAAAGAGTCATGGACACACTCCACCCGCAAAAAACAAAACATGTAAAAAGCAACAAGAGACAGGTCTTAGTGTGTCAGGTCATTCTACTGGGACAAAATGTACAGTATGTTTTCAAAGGATGGATGTGTTTGGCACAACCGCACATAAGAGTGAGCAAATTCATCTATCCGCAGAATTCAGTATCTTCTCTTGTTCAGACTGGCACGATGACAGCACCCCGAGTGTGACAACGTAACTAAGTCAACGACGTTCTTTTCAGGCCTCCGCATCTCTGACATTTCAAAGTGTGCTACATTCCTCAGCCTCTCTGTCTGACTCACACATCCAACCAAGAAATTCTCTGAAACACGGCTTTAGAAGAGCACACACAGCCAAGTCAAACATTTCTGTGTATTAGCTCCCGTCACTGCACAATGACATAACACACACATGCGTAAGTGGTAAAAGTCAATCCAAGTATGTGTGACATTTCAACATTTCTGACATGGTTTGCTGGATTGTCAGGCAGCTTTATACAGACAGTAATTTAGTTGCATTAGCAACATTTTGTCAATGACGCAAAGGATGATAGCACTGCAAACATATTGTAAACATATTGATAGATGCTCCTCCGACAGTGTCAAAACATCCTTGTAAAAATCTTTTCATCGAGCCGTTGGAGCGCATCTCATTAGATGTGCAGTCGTACTAAATGAGGTGAATGCTGAGTGTCCAGTATATCAAAGCATCAAGAGGCACTTGATGCAAAGCCAGCAACTAGTGTGATTGAAAAGTCCCCCTGAAGGAGCACGAGCGCCTTCAAAGCACAAAGTCTGTGCTTGAGTTCACTCTAAAAAAATGCATTCTGTTAACCACAGGGCAGGTCAGAAAGGGAAACAATAGTGTAATCTCAGTTTCCAAGATACTGTTTTTTTTATTTTTTTTTTGTCTCACTGCGATGCTTTTCAACATGGCCCATTCTGTTCAAGAGCAATCTCCCAAGTCTCTCTTATCTATCACGCATAAAGGACACACTACAACCATTAGTGAGGGAGAAGAGAGTATCCTAATGGCTGCTATGCCTCAGAAGTGCACCCTTCGTTATGAAAACAGCTGTGAACTGATGACTGTTTTCTCCGCAGTCTTGACACTGTGCATCAATCGTAAAAAGTATGACTCGGAAAAATGTGACACGAACCGCAGAAGCCGTTGTGGATTTTGGGGCCACGGGCGCAGCCGCACACACATGCACACACAAGCACTTGTAAGCAGATAAAAGGTGTCTTGCTCCGCTCTTACCCAAGTGTTGTCATAGTAACGATGGTGTACCAGAAGGAGGCTGGGATGCTGGTAAATTTACTGGAGGTTGAACCCTTCTCTGCGTAGAACATGACAGTAGCAAATATAATTATGGCCATCGTGAGGGAGAAGAGCAGGAATCCCAGCTCTGAGGCACAGCTCTTGAGCGTGTAGCCCAGGATGCGAAGGCCCTGCGAGTGGCGGGAGAACTTAAAGATACGGAACACTCGGAAAACTCGCAGCGTCACAAAGGCGCCACTGACGTCCTCGTTGTCAGTCATCACCAGGCCGATGTAGTAGGGCAAGATGGCCACCACATCGATAATGCTCATGACGGACCTCATGAAGCGGTAGCGACTCGGCGCGGCAAATAAGCGCATCAGGTATTCCACGGTGAAGATCATGACGCACGCCGTGTCCATGCAAAAGAAGGCCACCGTGTAGCGCTCGCCGCATGGCACTTCCTTCTTATTGAGCGCCGAGCCGCAGGGCACCGTCTCGACCACGTTGGTGATGACAGAGACTGCGATGAAGAATCCCGTGACGTAGTAGAAGACCAGGGCCATGGTGGAAGTGTGCGGGTTCTCAAAAGCCCGCCACATGGTCTCCCTGAAGGTCATGTTGGGCAGCTTAGCGTCCTTGTTGTCCTCTTGGTCATCCATCAGACGCTCTGCATTCTCCCTCTTCCTGTCCTTGTACTCTTCATAGCAGCAGTCACCGATGATCTCCGGGATGATGCCAAAGAAAGCCAACTCTTCGTCATAGGACGAGATGCACTCATAGCGAGGGTAGTGGAGCTTGCCGGTGCGATAGAAGTTGAGCACACTGCGAAACACGTCGGGATCTCGGTCGAAGAAGTACTCTTTGGTCTCTTCGTTGTAGAAGAACTCTTTCTCAGAGCTCCCAAGCAAGGTGTCCGGATAGCGGTCCAATGTGTTCCTCCACGTTTGGAAGCGCCGTCCGCTAACATTTAAAATGATTAACTCATCCTGACGTTTGTTCTTTTCAGTTGGCGCCACAGGCATGGGCAGATTCGCCACAGGCATCCAGCCAATGGCTGCCGCCCGGGCAAAGGGAAGCCACGCCGCCACTCCCGCTGCCATGCTATCTCCGACCTGGGGTGTAGGGGCCAACAAATCCTGCGCCTTCACAACCAGCTTGACTTCAGCTCAGTCACCAACTAAAAGGAGAAATGAAGGACAGCAGAACATAAAACAAAAAAATGAGCCTTATCTGAAATGCAAATCAGCATCAGAAACTTCGCGGGCAACTGCAGTTTCCAAGACACATCGTTGTTGCCTTGATAACTTGAAACCCTCCTTCCTCACAACGGCTACAGTGGATATCAAAAGTCTACGCCCGGCTGGTTGAATACCAGGTTTTTGTGATCTAAGCATATGAGAGTAATGTCAATATTGTCAAGACTTTTCCAACTTTAACAAGACCTGTAACCTACTTTTCAAGAGTCTGTTCAAGAGGGGAAGTAAAAACAAACAACTGAGATAATGTGGTTGCACAAGTGTGCACACCCTTGTAACTGGGATGTGGCTCTTTTCAGAATTAAGCAAACTCATTCTCATCCCCAACTGTTAAATGGGAGTCTGCACACAACTGCCTTCATTCAAAGTGCCTCTCATCCCTCCCCAAAACTTCAGGTATTCCGGCAGGCGTTTCCCTGACATTTCTGGAGCTACATTTTACAGCCCAAGGCAGAGTCTGTAGAGAGCTTCCACAGCATCAGAGGGATCTCATTATTCAAAGGTAAGCAAGTAAGGAGAAGGGTACGAAACAATTTCCAAGGCATTACATATACCTGTACTGTGGGACAGAGTGAAGAAAGTCAAGTGGAAAAAATATGGTACACAATCACGTTACTAAGAACAGGATGTCCCTCCAAAATTGACCTGAAAAAATAAGCAAATTGGAAGCTGCTAAGAGGATTACAGCAACAGTGAAGGAGCTGCAGGAATTTCTGGGAAGTACTGGCTGTTTAGTATCTGTGCCAACAATCTCCCATGTTCCTCTGAGAAACAGGGTGTGGTGGCGCCTTACGAAGAACAAAAAAACTGTTAAAATCTCCCAAATGCATGTTGGAAAAGGTGTTCTGATCCAAGTAAACGAAGATTGGACTTTTTTGGCACAGACAAAATTATAAATAATCAATAAAAGAATACCTTACCTTGCATGAAGCATGATAGCAGCAACATTATGCTTTTTTCATATGCAGATGGGACATGGTCAAGCTGGAGGGGAATATGAGCATTTCCAAATACCAGTTAGTGTGATAGCAGAGCTGAGAGGCCTCTGCTAAAACCCCACTAAAAATATCCTGAAAAGCCCACTGGAACATCTGAACTTTATTTGAGGTTAATCAGCGGCACTTTAAATGATGGCAGTTTAACAGAAGTTTGAATGGCACTGGTAAATTCAGAAAACAGCCACATCCTCAGTTATAAGAGTGTGTTAGTTGTTTATTTTTACGTCCTTTTGAGGAAGATCCCGGGGACCTTGTTTACCTGCCGGCCAAACTGTGGCAGGGTTTTTACTTTCTGGACCTTCATCTGACACCTCTGATTACAGGTAACCTTAATTGTAGAAAAAGTGTTGAACACTCAAAATTGTCCCTCAGTGTGAGTGTGAGCGCGGATGGTTGTTTGTCTATGTGTGCCCTGCGATTGGCTGGCAGCCGCGACCCTTGTGAGGATGAAGCGGATCAGAAAATGGATGGATGGACGGAAGTGTGTGTGTGTGTGTGTGTGTGTGTGTGTGTGTGTGTGTGTGTATGTATCTGTGTGTGTATGTGTTAGAGATCTAGATAGTTTTTGGGGGGAGTGTGTGTGTGTGTGTGTGTGTGTGTGTGTGTGTGTGTGTGTGTGTGTGTGTGTGTGTGTGTGTGTGGTGTAGTGGTAAACTCGCCTGACTTGTGAGAGGCAGTGTGGGATCGGTTCCCACTCAGTGACAGTGTGGATGTAGGTGTGAATGGTGATTTGTCTCTCTATGTGCCCTGCGACTGACCACTGGGGACCAGTTCGGGGTGCAGTGCGCCTTTGCCGAAGTTAGCTAGGATAGGTTCCAGCCCTGTTCTGGATAAGTGGTGATGAAAACGCATGAACACTCTGTGCGCGCGCGCGCGCGTGTGTGCGTGTGTGTGTGTGTGTGTGTGTGTGTGTTTAATGGGGGGGGGGGCATTTGAACAAGGGGGAGTTTTTATCCACTGAGTTACAATTAAGAAGCAGCCTTGCAGACCACAGCTTTGTCATCACGACTGGGTTTTTCACTCTGAGGCTCATCCAAACCTGTTGAGTTTCAAATGAACGTCAAAATGAATCCAGATGAATGAAACACTGGTAGCTAATCATAGTGAATTATTAATAGTAGGTCGCAATGCCAACAAGTTACTATTGACCAGTTGCCTGAAAAGCAATCCACACATATAAAGAAAAGACAAGACAGTTTCAACTCACCGATCGGAAATTCTCCATCCAAAAAGGCGACCTTGTTTCACTGCAGTGTAGTTCCGCTTCAGTCGTGTTGTATTCTCTTTTTTTTTCTTCCCTTAAAAAGGCGTGTCAGTTAAATGAGCAGCAGGAACGAAGTTCCCCAAGTGAAAACGGGAATAGTGTCACCGTGAGACTATGGCGCCGTAAAGTGTCGACCAGAGGACGAAGCGCAGCTTGGTGAGCTCACTTTCCATCCTGTGAAGCAGAGGGATGGGGAGAGCGCGCCGCCGGAGAGACGCCCGCTCCTCGGTTTCTGGACCTGAGCGCAGCCGCGAGACCGACGCGTGGAGGAGGAGGAGGAGGAGGAGGAGCGCCCCCTCCAACCCCCCTCGCTCGCTTTCTCTTTCTCTCTCTCTCGCTCTCTCGTTCTACAGTACAGTACATCTCTCGAGCTCTCAAAACACGGCAATCTAAACCTAACTTTGATTCATAGAGTGTGAGGAAGCCATTGATAAAGTATAAGCACCGATTTGCAATCATCACATTTCCACTACAAACTCTTCCAATAATTCTAGATCACATATTGGGTCTCTCGATGTCTTGGAATGATATAAAATGTGCCGTACATGTTATACTTTTTGGTGTTTTTGTGTCAGTGTTTAGTTTTAAATAGCATGATTACAATAATGAATGCTGGGAAAAGCCATAACCAATGAGGGAAATCGATAGGAGGATAGTTTAAAGAGCAAAAATGGTTGACATTCGAAAAGTAATCTTCAACAAAAATAAAAATGTTCTCATTCTTTTGATATCTTTCACCTCTGTTCGAATTCTTTTGTACTTGCAATACAAACTGGTGTGCGGCCTACCAAAATGAAACAGTATTGTCACATTGGCAAATCTCATTTTTAACAAATGGCCCACATGGCAGTATTTTGTTTTGTATGATAAAAATATTGACTTTGAAAGGTAACCCAAAAATAGAGTAGGGTGGACTCATTTATGTTGATCAGTGCATCAGACACAGCATATCCTATATTAATTGGTGGATATATCTGACCTAAAATCACCATTCAATCCACATATTTTGTCCCTTGCCTTGGAGTAATTGTAATAATGCGCCCTCAGTGGTACACGGGGAAATTTGTACCAGTAGTTCGATTTTGGTGGTGTACTTTAAACATGCAAAAAAATACAGACTCAACAGCAGCCGTAATTTGCAGTGCATCAGGTAAACTGATTGAAAACTAGATGTGGTTGAAATTCAGACATTGGTAACCTTGGTCATGGTACAAGTAGCCCAAAAGTTAGCATAATAACACCGTTTTTGAATGAGCAAAGCCAACCACTGAGTGGTTTGACTTTTCGTCTGTTAGTCTGTGGTAGATATTTCTCCTTTAGCCAACTAAGAAGACTGATTGATTCAGTTTGACATTTCTGTTGCTCAGATTACTCGCCCGGATGTGATTCTTTGACAGTGAAATTAACAGTGCGGTAAAGAGCTGACTTTAACAACAAGCTTGCCATAATCTTTAATCAAAATACTCAAACACAACCCATCCAAACATTTGACACTGTACACAGTACATGCCTCTGGCAAAATGGCCTCCACATGGCACTGATAATCTCCAATTAGGAGTTGGTTCTCTGCGAACAGGAAGGCTCGATTTCTTCTCTGTAGAATTGTTTATGCTGGATGAATTTTGAATATGAAGGAAAATTAAAATAACCTTAAAGAATCTATTTGCCAGCAAAACCCCAATAACAAGATTTTTTTTCTTTGTGTCAGTTCAGATCGGCGTTAGACACTCATGTTTTACCACCTGGAAGTATGCTGCCGCATTTTGGTTCTAAACATTCTGATTTGTGCCACAAGGTCACAATAAAATGTGTTGTTAACCCTCTCGCCTTCTTCACTTGTTGACAGCCAACACCACTTCAGCATTATCAGACATGACACTGGTTATTATTATTATCATGAGCTGTCAATCATGTTGATCAGCTCAGTTTGCTGACTGATCTTTGTTTCCTCCATCATTTTTATGATGTGAGCGCTTTGCCCTGACCAATAGAGTACGATCACCAATCAGTGTTGGAGTTAGGCATTGTGATTGACTGCGGCGCAGAGAAGGTTGTAACCAACTTGCTTCATGTGAACACAAGAACGATCAGGGCAAGGGGGTAGTCTCCATGCTCACTTCACAGCACAGATGTTTTGGTCCTCCATGTGCCCTCTTAGCCCATCTCAAAAACTCTGCCATTGCTTGATTGTGACATCACATTTAAAGGGAATGAGAGGAGATGCTTTTATTGGCCCTTTTTGCAGACACATACCGAAATTTCAGAAAGTCTGCAAAGTGGAGCCAACTTCAACCTGGCAACCACGTGTCCCAATTCTTTTGTTCATGTCGAGCTAAAATATTTTGAGGAGTTATTTACATATCAGTCAAGCACCCCTAGGTCATGGGTGCTAAAGCTAATCTAATAACAACAATAAGAATAAGAATAACAGATTTGCTTGTGTGAGACTGTGGTGATTTGTATTCACCCTTTGTGTCAGAGTCTCTCGCTTGCCACATTATTCAATGCTTCGCATGACAAAATGCAGACCTAATTGAGTCAACTGGGATATTATCACTCTTCAAGGTTGTGCATAATCAATAGGGTCACTGTTCCGAGCTCTGTATAGACTTTATGTGTATGCAATATATCTGACCAATTTTCATAAGTTTTGTCTGCGACAAGAATGATGGGATACCGCACATACATCCTTAAAACCTACAAAAATACTGCATTAAAACTGGCCTTTTAACTGATGAGTTTGTGAATAATTTTAATAATTCAAATGTCACTGAATAACAAGGTGGTCTGAATTTCATGGTCAGCAGGTCGCTGTAATTGCCAGAAGACATGACGGTGATATTAAAATTCTAAATGCTTCCCTGCTGCCTACAGCAACGATGTCACACTGAAAAAAAAATCAAGGATAAAGATGTTCTTCTATCCAGTTCACTTATCTTAATTTTTCATTTATTATTATTATTTTTGTATTATGCTTGTTTTAATCCCAAAGCAAAACTCACAGATTTTCACTCTGCTAAGTATATTGTTTATTGGTTATCGGTCTTCCTGATTTGTCACATTCAAAACACAATGAAAAATTGATCCACACGCAACGGGGAGTTTATCCCCTGAAATCACCCAAGCATCCAATAAGATTCAACTGTGAACATAAATCATCACTAAAATTGTTCTACATTAACAAATGCCTACACTGCAACGGTACACCCTTAGCAGGTACATCTGTCTCAAGCTTTTCGGCATTATTTTTAATTTCATGTGCAAGTTTATTTCTTATTACCGACGCTGTAACGCTTGAATCTACAAAGCTCATGCCGCTCCCTGCACTCGATTATGTTTGTGTAAATTTGCATTGAATAAATTCCATTCCAGCTAAGTTCAAAGGAAAATCTAGGGCAGTGGTTCTTAACCTTTTTAGATGTACCGAACCCATCCAGTAAATATGCACATTCCCCGAACCATTCATGAGTGAAAATATATATATATATATATTTTTTTTTTACAAATTCAAGATATTAAAAAAAAACACATTTATTAAAAACAGAAAAAAGTAAATAAAATTTCAAGAGATAAGTATACTTTTTTTTTTTTTTTTGGAAATTGTGCGACGTACTATCACAACAGTCACACCTTGACTAATCAGCAAACTAAATTTCCCACAACACTGATTGGACAAGCAATGTTATGTGATCATCGGCAGCCAGTGATGGCCAAGCGGGCGTGTCATAACTAATCAACAAGTTGAGTCGCTTGTGTCTTACCCTCCATGGCAGAGGCTCCGTCGAACCCTTGAGACCGACTCACCGAACCCCTGGGGTTTGATCGAACTCAGGTTAAGAGCCCCTACATTCTAGGGGCTCTTTTTGATATTAGGCGTCAATGGTGAATCCAACACACCACCCGACTTTCTCTCACCAGACTTTAAACAGTACCGCATGGTTATGAGCTACTCACTGAGCATTGGTACTGACAAACAAGAAGTGAGACTGTGTTCTTTTTTTATATTTTAATCTCTCTGTTTATTCATTTGTTTATCGGGTTCTTTGAGGGAAGTTAATGATGACATTCCCCAAGTATATTGGGACTGCAATATTGCTTCAAGGGCTTCGTCTGTAACCGTGGTGGAGTTTATCCACTGTATATCTCAGATTGATCCGGTGGCCATTCAGTCGACAGCTCCGAGTTGGGGGTGTTATAGATGTGCTTCGAATTGCAGCAATTTTACACCAGCTTTTTCTCTGAGTTGTTTGCGTAACTCAAACTGCGTGTGGCTATTAGCGCTGGAGTTTGTGAATTACATGTTGTTTATCAATGAGGCTCATTTGGGTAAAGGTGGGCAATTTCTCTGAGATATATATGCATATTACCTCATTTTAATACGCGCAAACACCAGCAGTGAAGCGAGAAGCATTCTGCTTGGCATCTCAGTTTCTGTGCTTTCCTCTTTGTGAGACCAAACTTTGTGTTTCACAAAGTGAATAAAAGCATTGCTTATATCATTTCCCACAGTCTGACTCATCACTGATGCTTAAGTAAGATTAATAAAGCGTTCAGTTCCCATTCCGGGGCTCCTTTGTATCCAGCGATGGAAAATATGCAATCAAGCCGACAGTAAATATCAAAGATCAGATGGAAAAAATGTGCAGCTGTTTCGCCGAGAAAATTTATGAGGCAGAAGAAGAGCAAGATATAAAGCTTTTGATTAGGTCTTTGACAAGTTTGCCCATCCAAACGGGTCATTTTTCAAGGGCTTTACAAAGCCGCAATTGACTGATTTAGGCTAAGCCAATCTCTTTCCAAAGCTGGGACTTCTTTTTGTGCTTAATTGGAGAAGGGAAACCGTTTGAATGATTCTTAAGCACCTGAACTTCATCCTAATGATGCGGTTGGGATGTAATCACGGAAGGTTAATGACGGTGCGCCACATTAATCAAGGCGCATGAGCATGCTTTGAATCAAAAATGATGGATTTGATTGTCTTATAGCTTCTGTTGATTTGACAAATGAATGATAATAATAAAGCGAGAAATTTACAAATACTTTGCTTCACGTGTAATCCTCACCTTGCATGCCTTGGGCTTTGAATATTTTTCTTTCTCTTGAATTTGTGACTAGTTCACTCAATTTTCTAGATAATGGATGGATACCGTATTATGTATTATTGTTATTGCAGAAAATAGCTCCACTTACCATTCTTATCATTCTATATATTTTTTCAATTCTTTTGAAATAACATTTGCTCTGGTGTACATTTGGTAATAACCGT